TATAGATATAAGTTTTGAGCCTTAAAGGGGATTTACATCTTAATTTAATTAATTGTACCCCTTTCCTCATTGTTTTGTGTGATTATCTCCTTAGATTTTGTGCTCTAGAACATGACTTGGAACCGACTTAAGGCTTATCTTTTTAATTGCATGTTTTTAATATGATTGAGGCATAATAGGATTTTTATTCTTGGCCATCAGCATGTTTGAGATACAACTAGTTGCCCACTTTGAGCTTTATTAATTTTCTTGGTTCTTTACATTAAATTTATAAAATATTTTGATGACCTTGAGTTTATGAATGGAGCAATTGAGTTGTTGAATTGCTTGATAAATTCTCCTTTATATCTCTCATGTGCAAAAAGAAAGAAAGAAAGTATGAAAAAAAGAAAAAAGAAAAGAAAAAGGGTTATATATGATTGAAAGGAGAGAAGAGTAAAGATATTGTTCACATACAAAAATATAAAAATTACTCCAAGAGCTTTATTTGTAAACTTAGGGGATGTTTATAATTTTTATAATTTATTACCCCTTTGTATATTGCCTTTCTTTCATTTATCTCACCTCAATTATTATAACCCCTTCGTCACATTATAACCTGAAAAAGACCTCATGATTTTTACTTGTATTTAATTTATTTAGTGGAGAGTCAGTTTATAGTCAAGCCTATGGTACTACACTTCTCTTTAGGAGAACTGAGTGATGTCTTATTTTGTCCCTTAGTGAGAGAGGAAAGTAGAGTACCTCAGTTTGATGTTTGAGTGAAAAGTATGAAAATATAAGATTCTAATTGGGAATCCTTTTGATTGCTTATGCTCAGTGATATTACTCTTGTTGCTCTCTTTATCTCCTCATCTTGGGTTCCTTGTGTGGTATTATGTTTTAAGTTATTATGTTACTCTTAACCAGCACCTTGCTTGAGGACAAACAAACAGATAAGTATGGGGGAGTTGATAAGTCTGTAATTAGGCCCTCTTTTACAGCCCATATATTCATATTTGACCTTTATTTTATTTGAGTTTTACACTAATTTATATATTAATTGTGCAGTTTGGTATAAAAGAGGCCGCAAGTGGATTTTGGGTGCATTCTGAGCTCAAATTGATGGAAGATTAGAGCTTCGTAGCAGTTAGCACGCCTAGACCCATTTCAATAAGCACGGGGTGTTTCGAGCCCATGCACGGTCATGCTTAAGGCCTTGCATGGCCGTGCTCATCTGCGGGAAGCCCAATTATAAATAGTTTTTAGGGTTTTCAAATCCTATAAAAGGGAAGATCTCATGCATCGTAAAAAAAGACCATTTTTACATCTTGGCTTTGGCTCTAGAATACATTTGATCTCGTCTCTCTTGCACGGAATCCTTCGTACATGCTTGGCGAGACTTGGAGCTTCAAGCGACCGTACTTGAAGACTGGGAACTCATCTCATTCTAGTTTGCTTTTCTTTATGGCTTTGTTTATGATTGTTTTAGTTCTTTTCTTTAGCATAAGTAATTAAGCCCATAGCTAGGGCTATGGGAACTATTGTTCATGAATTTAAGGGATTTTAATGTTTGAATCTAAATTTGATTTCTATTTCGTGATTAGATTTTATCCTATTGCACTTCTCTCTTAATCCTAATTAATTATATTGTCAGGTGACCGTACCTCGGTTAATTAATAGATCTATAAGGTAAAACGAGACAAAGGATTAGGTGGACCAAACCAATCTTTCTCTTCTAATCGTTATTAAATTAACAGGTTCATAGGTTCCTTAAGCTTTCTTGAATTGATGTCTTACATGACCATTGGGGATGTTAATTTAGAGAAAAGAATATTAATATTGCATGACCATTGGGTATTAATAGTATTCGTATGAATGATTGGTAATCAAAAGGAAATCAAATTTAGAGTTAAATAGAAGAATAACATAAAGGATTGAATGAGAAAACCCATATGCCCTAGGTTCCTCTCTGATAAGTTTAACCAAGATGTGCATTGTATTCCTTACTCTTAGTTTTATAATTGATTTTATAAATTCTTGTTTTTAATTAATCTCGTATCTTTGAAACTTAAACAATTGAATTAGGAAATTCTTAGTAATTGGAAATCAATCCTTGTGGGACGATATTTTGGGAACTTAATTTAAGAACTCTTTATTACTTCTCGATGAGTACACTTGCTCCTCAAACAACATCCACGTAAGGATCGTGAAAATAATAGCCAATCAGCAACATGCAAACACATTTCACCCACAATCGTGCCCATGCAAGTCACAAAATGTTGTTTAATGGTGTCGTTTAAACAAAAATGTCGAGGAATGAAAGAAAAATCATTTGCATGCAATTTTAATGGAGACCATAGGTTAAAACGAAGGGGAAAGGGACACATGCAACACCCAATAATCATGCATTCAAACACACACATTCACACGCACACAGGAACTTCCCTTACCTTGTTGGAAGCGAAATTGATAAGAAAGTCAAAGAGTTGCCCTTGTCGTTTGTGATGAATTGTCCATGGTGTCGTCCCACGATGGCGGTGTAAGTGTCAAAAAGGAAGGTGAAAGTGCGGGTTGCAAATAAAGTTCTTCGTATTCCTTCAATCTCCTTAGTAGATTTCACGGTAGTGGGAGGTGTTTATGAAAAAGAGAACTAATGAGAGTGAAGAGAGTTTAAATATGGCAAGTGTAAGTCATATGGGTGAGGGAAGACGTAAGGTGTAAGTCGTGACCTTTCACCTTAATGGGTGTCATAGCCAGGGTAGCCATACGTGAGAAGTCAAGTTGCACACTCTTTTTTTTCTCCATCCACTACATGCTTAAATAGGTATAACTCTTTGTTTGCCCTTGATTTGTCCCCTAAGGGCTGCACCTCTTTTCGCTAACCACGCCATGTAGAGTGCCACTATTGCGAGTAATAAATGTGAAGTAAATAGAGAATGTGGGAAGGTGAGAATAAAGGCTAGAAATAGGGTTCTAGAAACAAATTTCTCAAGAGAAAAATTTGAGTGGCTGTTTGGCATTTATTGGGGGCATTCATTAAATGCAGACCGACGGTTATTAAGTTATTTGAGGAGGAAAATCATTATGTGCACCTTCGTATTCTTCTGGAAATTTAAACGCAAGTGGGAGACAAAATAAATGGGGTTCAATGACGAAATAAATGGGGTAACCGAAGGGTTTTCAGTTAAGTGTATTTAAGACACAATTATTAGGAAAACTTTCTATAAATCACACGTAATTGATGCTAATTTATGGTAAAAACGGTTGGTTATATTTGAGTGTCTAGGAATACGAAAAGTCTGCATTAAATACAAGTAATAAAGGCTTTTGATTGGGGTCATTAAAATTGATCTCTCTTTTAAACATAAATGCAATTCTGGCCACAGCAATTAAGAGGGCATAAGGTAAGTGTGAAAGTGTCTTTTGGGTTCCTATACGTGAAATGTAATACATAAGAGAAATAATTACTCAAAAATGAATGGTTTGCAAGTCTAAGGTCACATTAAGCTCAATGGAATATGAAAGGTTGGCTTTTAGTGTGCTTAGGTAGTGTAAAAACAAATGGATTCTCAAACCATTATGACTAAACTTAAGTGGACATTAATAGCATAGAGAGAATATGAATGAATACTAAGGGAAAGGTAAGAATTACACGTGCAATCTCTTTCTTAATAAACAATAATAATAATAATAATAGCAATAATAATAAATAGATTAAGAAAAAGAATGATAATAAAAGTAGGGTCCACGCATTTCATGTAATTAGGAAAAATCAACTTAGGGTTTCGTCTTACTCTTCTAGGGTTCCTTAAAGAATTTTCTTTACATGACCATTAAGACTTACATACATAGGAGAAAGAGTACATAAAATATTATCATACTATTTCACAGAATCTAACCAATGCATACACAAAATACAATCAAGAGTCACGAGTAGGAGAAAGAAGAGAAAGAAAAATGAATTGATAATTAAACAACACATAATGATAACTTAACTCACAACAAGAATCAAATCAGGGTAAAAGAGAATAAGAAAAGAGACACTAGCTAGCAATAGGCGATTCACAAAAGCAGATTGAATTTGGAGATGTCACAAAAGCAGACTGAATTTGTACTAAGATAATACTTAATTTTTTATTATTAAAAAATTAACTCCCTAACATACATATTTATGTGCTTGGGCTTACTTAGTGCTTGTGCTAAAAAGGTAAGGCTAAGGGTCGGAGAGTTTTGGAGGAAACTAACTCCTTTCTTGCAAATAAGCTTTACAAGAAAGAAGTCCAACAAGTACTTTTTGAAGAAGAAGTGATCTATGTATTGGATCGCTCTTCCGTTAGATGAACATGAATAAGATTATATTGGTCTTATTTTTTTTTTTAAGAGAACTTCCCCATTCAATTTGAACCATTCTTAAGACCATAAAACTCTCTTTGAATGAGTTCTTTGTATTTTGATTGTCCTAAAAATAAATGTGACTGGAAGAAGTGATATGTCTCACTCGTCGATATTATTTTATTATTATTAAAAATATAAGTATTTTTGCTGTAACAGAGAATAGTTAAATTGATATAACAAAAATTATCCTAAATAAAAAATATATTTTGACAATATCTTAGTTTGATTTTCTTTTTAATTTTACCATATTTTGAAAAAAACTCTCTTTCTATGGGAACATATTTAAAATAAAAGTTATAAAAATTATTAAGGGATGTCTCAACAATAAAAATAGTGTGAATAGTAGCTCAGTATTTCAATATTATATTGTAAAAAGGCCAATGTAAAATGCGGCCCAAACTCAGAAACTATAATCTGGTTCTAGTTGAACCAAAAAAAAGAAAAGAACCTCGTTCTGAATTCTGATTGGCATTATCCTTGTTCTCTCTAGAATCTTCTATGATGAGAGACAGAGGAAAAACCCTAATAAAAAAAAAGTAACAAGAACCCCAAACTGCCCCTATTCCCACGTCGCTTTACTTAACTCATGGTACCTTGTTCTAGCGTTTTCCAAACCGCAGTATAAAACTAGGGAAGGGACGTTTTCTGGTATCGTCACTTCGATTCCAATTAGGTGATAAAGAAATGGCGGAAGACTTAGCGTTGGATTTGGAGGAGCTTCGGCGTCTGCAAGGCATGGCCAAAAGACCTCGAATCCTCTCTCTTCTCTCCTCCGAGATTTGCAACTTGGAAAAGGTTTTCCCTTCTTTCACTACCAATTTCCGTTCTCTTTTATTTGCTTTGCTTTCTGATAGTTACTATTTGTTCTTCATTTTTGCAGTTATCATCCGAGGCAACTTCTGCGCGTGCGTCACAGATTCCCGCACCGATTTCAACTGGAACTAGTGTGTCACCTTCTCCTGCACTCAAGTATGCCACACTTGCTTCTTTCAGTTGGGATCAGGATAATGACAAAGTTAAGGTAAAGAAGCATTTAATTGGTGCGGATTCCTGTTGTCATGGTTTTAAAGTGGACGTCTGAATTTGAATGATATTCTCTTATGTATTTTAGTTTAGATTTTTATGTTTCAATCAATCATCGAAGCACGGTATTTTGTGCTATAGGTTAGTTGCCACTTTATCCAGTCCTTAAAGAGGAAGGATGTAGTTTCCATTATGTCGTAAACAGACTCAATTATTTGTTTATTTGCTTATTATTAACCACAAATTGAATTAGTCATCTGTCTACCTGATGTAATTAATCAATTGTAGAATGAATCAGTTCTGTGTAATATGTCATTTGGGGGTATTCTTACCGTTAGATGATAGGATAGAATTTTTCTTAAGCCTTTGTTTATGATGGGTGGCATGGAATGAAATTGAGGACAGGACTGAATACAATTAGTGTTGGATTGACCATAATATTATGTGGATGTTTTATGAAGTAGAAGAAAATTTCATTTTTGTTTGAGGAATGAATGAAATGGGAAGCAAATTAGTTAACACCAAGCTCATTTTTTTAACAGTTCTGTTAATTCTGGTCAGATTTTTAGCATCTTAAATTGATAAATTCTTACTAAAAAAGAAAAATTATTATCCATTCCTATTCTCTATGTGATAGTTTAAGGGAAAACTTAATTTTTGACGGTGCTTAATGGCGGCAGGATGCAATCCGTGTACTCGACCTTATCTACTAAGATAAGACCTGATTATTGTTGTAATGAAATAAATGTTGCTTTTTAATTAAAATTTTCCACTTTTAGTTGCTTAACCTTTAGTCCTCTAAGGTTTAGCAGTTTCCTTTTTTTCAATACCTTAGTAAATTAAAGATAAATGAAATAGTGGTGATGGATAAAATGGGATTTATATTTGTCAAGTTTCACCTTTGTTTTAAACAATCTATATTGTTCTGAAGTTTCTTAGGAGTTATGTTTTTGAACAAATGTGGCAAATTCTGATGATTGTGCTTGTATTTGGGATTTTTTTTTTGGCAGATATATGTGTCATTGGAGGGAATTGATGAGAGTAAGGTTGAATCTGAGTTTAAGCCTATGTCGTTTGATGTTAAGTTCCATGATATTCAAGGGAAGAACTACCGATGTGCAATATCAAAATTGCACAAGGAGATAGTACCAGATAAATGTAAGGTTTTAGTCAAACCTACAAGGGCGATCATCACATTGGTGAAGGCTTCAAAAGGAAACTGGCTAGATTTGCACTTTAAAGAAGACAAGGTAGTAAAATGCTATGAGTGAGATGACTGTTTCTTTCCCTGTTAACCGATATTGTGGTAAAGTTGTAACTTTTGTGTTGATGTTACAGATGAAACCAAATTTGGATAAAGAGAAAGATCCAATGGCAGGAATCATGGACTTAATGAAGGTAAGAGTCTGTAAATCTTTATTTGGTTGAAGCTACTTCCTTTTAATTTTATGCATGTACAGTAATTTGACGTTTACTATGTATGTAATGAATTGTAGAATATGTACGAGGAAGGGGATGATGAGATGAAGAAAACCATTGCAAAAGCATGGACTGATGCTAGATCTGGGAAAACAGCAGACCCTTTAAGTAGCTACCGTTGAGTAACCTTCAGAGATTCAAATGCTTAATTCCTGTTTCAAGGGAATGATTTACTCAATTTAATTGCATGGTTTTATGTTATGAAATGAGTGCTTGGCCTATGTTTTCGGCACATGTAGAAGTGTAGATTTGCAGTTATTGTTACCAAAATTTTACTTGGTTATATAATGAGGTTATTTTTGCCTGTGGTACCACCTGAATATTTGCACGAATGATTTCCATTTGCTGCGTGTTCGGAAATATGTTAAAAATTTTATAAACATGGATTTAAAGTAAAAAATTTAATGTAAATGTGGATTTATTAATAGGAAAATACAAATTTAAACACTGTAAATAAGTCACAAATCAATATTAAACAACGTATGAACCAACCAATCAACTAAACTTTCCAGATCAATGTTCTGGTAAATATCTGATCAAATTCTCTGACGTCACATCTCGGTCTCTAGCTCACTGCAAATCCTGATGCCTTCCTCACCATATAGTTCACTTCAATGACAAGTGGAGAAGACCAAGGCTCTTGAATAGTATCCGCATTTAGACTGTAGACATCGAATTTGTTAAGATTTATTTTAGATAATGTTAGACATGGTAGTAGAATTTCATGTACTAACAATCGACAAACGCAAGAAACAAATAGCCAAAGTCCCCAAGAATTCAGAAGGTTTTTGTTGGCAAAAATCTGGCCCTTTCTTTTTACACCTCTCATTTTTCGGAAATGAATCCCCTGAAGTTTAAAACAAAACTGCACAACCTGCAGTTATGATCCAATGGTGTTTAGTTATTATCAATAGTTACAAAAATATAATTTAAAGGGAATGAAAGGGGAGATTGAGAACTGCACCCTGTGCAGTTAACTTTTGATATTTTGATCCCATTTTTTCTATTCACATTCCCCATGTTGGAAAAAATAAAAAACTGCAAGAAAAACATTCCCTCGATCTTGTTTTGTTATTTTTGAAAATTAAGTTTTAAAAGTAATTTATCGTAATTTAATTTTCTAAAGACAGTTTAACATATTCTGAAAATTTAATTTTGAATAGGCGATTAATAATTCATTTTTGTAATTCAATTTTCAGAAGAGGACCTGAAATTAATATTTTGAGGGAAAAAATGAGTGAAAAATTACCAAAATTTTGATTATGACTGGATCCTACATAGCATTGCGGTTTGACTCAATAAAAAAAAAAGCCATAATCAAATTAAAAGGCTTAATTATGTTACAAAATAGTATCATTTATAATAAGTTTTTAAAAAAATTTGTTAGAATTTATTTTTTGTTATTTTCAAAATATAAGTTATGTGATGAGCTGAATAACTAGCAAAAAAATTTAACTGAAAAGTAGTTCAAATAATAAACTAATTATTACTAATTTTCAGTTAAATTATACTTTTAATTCATATAATTGACACTCATTTGTGAATTAGTTTATATACTTAAAAAATTTACATTTTGATTCTTTCTATCACCACAATGATAGGAACTAAAACATAATAAAGAATATTAATTTAAAGACTGAAACGTAAATTTTGTTAATTAGTTACGTTTTGTTAATTATATAGACTAATTCATAAATAAGCATTAACTAAAGGAATTAAATAAATATTTTAAATAAAAATAAAATATTTTTGATAGATTTTTATAGAAAAAGTAAAAAATGAAGTATCAAATAAAAGAATCATAATTTTTAAAATATTGAAAACTCAAACATTTAAGTCAAATATAATTTATAGGTTAAGAGGATAATATATTTATTAATTAAATTATTAATTTGATAAATACATAAATCATATATGATAAAGATTTTTTATTATGATTTAAAAATACTAAATATGCTTAGATAATTTTTTTATAAATAAAATATCTACTTGAATGAGAAAGTAACATGAAAGACCAATTAATAATATTTTGACGATAGAGAAATTACGAAATTATTTAAGTAATAAAAGTTAATCTTTTAAAATTTTGAGTGACGGTGTAATTTTACATCTTAAATATAATAAATATTTTATTTTTTATATAAAAAATATTATATATAAATGAATATAATTATATATTATAAAATTATAATTATTAATTTTGATATTTTATTAATTCCTCTAAAGGTAGGATAAAGATAAAATATAAAATTAAGTAAAATTTTTTATTAGTAAAAAATTAAGTGTTATGAAAATAAAATTGAGTTATAATTCATATATTTTCTCAAATAAATTTGGCGTTTTGTATTTTTTTTAAAATTATAATTGATTAAAATATACATTTATTCTTTATATTTGACATATTTACAAATTAGTCTATATATTTAAAAAGAAACTTATATTTTAGTTGTTGTGTTAAAAAAAACTTGTGTTTTAGTCCTATACTTAAACCAATTAACGTTTAGTTTTATATTTATATTTATATTTATGTTTATATATATATTGTTCCTTCTTGGCAAAACAACTGTCTTCAAACCTCTGATCAGGCGTCCTTCTGCTGATTTGCTGATAGGGAGAATACCTGCAAAAGGCACTCCGATGGTAAAGTCAGGATTCGGTTCTGAGCAATAAATGTTATTTAATGATGAGAAGTCAACCCCTTACCTGTATTTCTTATCTTCTTTTTATAAACATTCTATTGGGCTAATGGGCCTGAGTCAGTTTTTATATTGAGGCCCATAGTATTTTGATTATCTTTAATTGGATTATTTACCTTTTAATCCTGACGAGGGGTACCCGGCCCAGTATGCCGAGTAGGTATTCGGTTTCTTTTTCCTGAGGGTGGAACCGAGTTGATTCCTTTCCCAGTACACTAGCCCCACAAGCCCGGCGAGTTGCGAAGCAAGGGCTTAAAAATGGAGATGGTAATATTAGAATAGGTATTCGGTTGGAGTGCTTATTACTGTACCGAGAGGGTCATTTGGTTAGGGTGAATTACAATGCATCGTGGGGGGTGTCCGGTCTCGATTGATGGTAACGTTTGATGTATTAAGTTTTACACTGAGGAGTAATCGGTTTAGTAACAACACGATATAGGCCGAGATTATAATATAAATAATAAATTTGCGAAGGAATATTCTAGAATGTTGGTTTTGAGGATTTGTCAGAGGGTATGTGAAGCGAAAGGGTGCTCCATCTCCTCCGTTGATCTGGAAGGGATCTGATGGTTCGAAACGAAAGGGCGTCTTTTCGTTTGCCCGACATCAGTCCCTTATAAATATGTGGTGGTCCCTGCATCCCTTTCTTACTCTTTTGCTCTGTGCCGAACCCTGCATACCTTTGCTCCAAACCGACGAGTGTTCAGAGATCTTAGGCTTTTCTTCCCTACCGACTGCTCGTAAGGTGCGTTTCATTTTTTTCTTTACTTCTTTTCTATCATGGCTGATCGTATTGAGAGGGAGGATTCCTTGTCGAATGCCTCGGGGCCGAGTACCATTGAGGTTGATATTATAAATGGAACCGAGGGGAGTGGCGAAGTTTCGTCTATTTCAAACCGGAGGAATGAAGAGGCACAGGTCGGCGAAGGTAGTAACAAAACCGAGACGTCATCGTCAAGTGATACTGACGCTCCTAAACCCCTTCCTAGCACTAGTCCTCCTCGGGAAAGGCAGGTGTTTCCTCCTTGTACGGTGCCTGGTTATGAGTGGGTGCACGATGAAGTGGCCGCCTACTTTTCTCGTTTCAAAAGAAATAAAAGTCTTCAATTTTTTGTAGATAATTATGATATTTCTTTATGGGAGGCTTGTGACCCGTATCCTATACACCTTGACCCCTATAAAGGGGACGAGGGCGAGAACCCAGATTTTGTTTTCCTGGGAGGTGTCGGAATGGCCGACACCTTCTTTATGTATGAGTACATGTTTAGGGAATTAGGTTTCAGGCTACCTTTTGACGATTTCCAAATGAGGGTTTTGAGGGTATTGAATGTAGCGCCAACACAACTACACCCGAACGGGTGGGCGGCAATTCAAGCCTTTAGAATACTTTGTAAATTCCATTATATAGAGCCTAGTGTAGGTCTTTTTCTTCATTTTTTTTGTACACGTCCATCTGACCTGGCGAGGTGGGTATCTCTAATAAGGCAACTCGAGTTGCCCTTATTTAAGCCATATGCGTCGTCTTTTAAGGGTTTCAAGACCGGTTTCTTCAAGGTAACCGTGGACCCTGTAGGTAAAAATTATTTTTTTGATAGCGAGGACAATCCCCTATTCCCTTTTCACTGGACTCGGGTGTCGCGCCGATACGACACATACCTTGAGGATATGTTATCGGCTAGGGAGCTATCGGATTTGCAATTCTTGAAGTCCCTTCCCCGGGACATTCTTACCCGACATGTAGTCCTCGTCCTCAAGTCTCCGCGTCCTCGGTGGGATATGGAGGGTATGTGTTATTTCGTTTCTGACTTGTATTTGGAATTGAGCTATATTGATTTGACTTGCTATTGTTAATGCAGGTTTAATGGCTCAGCGAGGTGTGGATGTGCCGACCTTTCGGCGCACTCTGAAGCAGAGAATGCTAGAAGGGACGCCCGTTGAGGAGCATCGCCATCCTCAAATCGACCAACTTCCCGAGGTGCCAGAACCTCGCCCTCCTCCCCAAGATTTTGTTCCAGCCAAAGGCCCTTCCAAGAAACGCAAGGACAAGGGCAAAGGCAAGGAGCTCGAAAGGGAAAGGAAGAGACGGCATGCCCACTCGGGTGAGCCTGACGGCGTTCAAGGGGCTCGGAGTCAAACCCGAGTGGTAGCTGCTGGGGAGGGAAGCAGTTCTTCCCCCGTAATTCCCTTGGACATGCTGGCCGAGGGCTTCCTGGTGAACGGGACACATGTCGGTCGGCTCGCTGCTCCAAACCTGTTATCTGATGCAGGGAAGGAACTGGTCGGCGGTCTGGACTATGAGTCACTGTGGCGCTACTACGCGGAACTTCATGTACGGTCCACCGCAATGCTCCGAAGGCTGGTTGTGGATCCTATTCTCGAAGTTAAGAAGTTAAAGGCTGGCTATTCGGTTTCTGAAGAGGCTTTGGCCGAGAGTAGAGAGATTCGAGCTAGCCTGGACGAGACCGTTCAATCCCTGCAGGGTCAGGTTAACCAATACAAAGAGCACTTTCAAATAATGGAGGACCGAGTACATGCAGCCGAGGAGGTGACGAGAGTCCGGGGGGAGGAGATGGAGGCGTTAAAGGCAAAGTCCTGTCAAATGGAGGAGCCTTTAC